CTTTAAAGGACCAGTTCAAGTCATGTAATGCTGTTTCCCAACCTTCAGTCAGGATTTCAGCTGCATGTTGTGACAGAAATGTGTTCATGCATCAAAATGAACTTAAATTCATTCATGAGGTGAGAATTTGTTTTGTAAATGAGACAGTTTCTTAGTTAACAGTGTAAAATTCACTCATGAATCATGTTATTTACAGTCTTAACAAGGATATTCAACATACTAAACACATACAGCCTCGGCATGCATGTAATCATACTAATTTTCACGCATGTAAACTGCAGACATTTAGTTTGGTCGTCATTATTCAGTCTTAAGCAGCATTAAGACACACTTTTGCTTTGACCACAGATATAAAACAAAGTGTTATCACTGTTGGAGATGTGTACAAACTAGTCCTAGAGAAATTAATCAAAATAATTATGGTCAAGAGCGATATCTGAATCACAGGAGCTACAACTTGTTGATAAATCTTTGTGCCTGACCTGTATTTAACTCCCTCTGTGCCCTGGATTATAACCAGTCCAGTTGCTTTTACTGGTTAAACTGGCTTTAAAGGAGCAGTACAAGTCACATAATCCAGTTTTCCACCTGCGAAAAAGGAACTGCAGCCTCTACATTGTGACCGAAATGTTCTTAATGCATCAGAATGACTTGGTTTCAGTCCCAGTGGATATATTTCAAGCATTGTAGCCCATAAAATATCAGCAGATGATGTAATTTCTTTAGTTTTTATGTAAAACTCATCCATAAATCATGTTGATTACAGCCTCTCTGGTCACAATAACTCAGTTTTAAGGGATTTTTTGCTTTTACCACTTGTAAAAATATGTGTATTTGCATGTTATGTTCCAGATAACAAGCAGCTGTAGATGCGTATAAACTGGGGATAGGACAGTTCATTGGAATATTGTCAAAATTTCAGCATTGTAAAGTGCAAAATCAGAATCACAGGAGCTGTAATTTTCTTTTTTATAAAGGTCAAATAGGTCACAAAATATGTTCTGCCTTGTCTGCAGCTTTTTTGTATCAGTATTGGTGGGAAGGAACCGCAAAAATGAGCATTCTCACTAAAAATATCTGTCAAAATAATCAAAATATATCTATTTTTTTTTGCATGTAGTTTAAGTTTGAGCTTCAACAAGAGGCTTGTAATGAGTTTGTGGCTCCTCAGTGGTCAGCCCCGCGCCTCCGTACGCCGCTGTTTGCCCAGAAACCAGTCTCACGGGTTTCCTTCCTTGCCGACGTCATTCAGCGCCGGTTGTCAGAGGCAGGTGTTGATCCGTCAGGTGTGTCTGAAGCCTGAGAGGTCGTCTCGCTTTCAGGCAGCTTCCGTCTGAAGGGCGGCCTTTCACACCAGCTGCTGCCATAGTTACTCCGGCTGTCGAGCACCGCTCAGCTAACTGCTGCCCGCGTTAATTACAAATCGGTTGGGCATCGCGGGCCATAAGTCAATTTGCTTTGTTGCCAGGAGCCACAGTTTGTGAGTCACAGCTTGTGTATTATTGATGTTTTTTGGGGTCACTGGTGAAGTGGGAGGGAATTAAAAACAAAAAGAACTGGTTCACTGAAACTGACTCAAACCCATTTTTAATCAGCTCGTCGGCATCTGTTGTTTCATGTGTGAGCTGTTTTGCTGGTTGATTTTCAGTTTTAGTCAATTTTACAGAGAAAAGAAAGAAGTCTGATACGTGGTCAGTGCTATCACACACCACAGGCTTCCTCACATCCCGTAAGCCTGCGTCTGCATTATACATCCGTCTAAATGTTTAAAATGCATAGAATTAATATAAGTACATAAATACTTTTTTCTTTTTAAAGATATTTTTTTGGCCTTATTGGATAGAGCAGAGGGAGAGAGACAGGAAAGTGGGGGGAGAAGAACAGGGGAAGGACTTGCAGCAAAGGGTCATGAGCGGGACTCGAACCCACGACCGCTGCATCGAGGACTGTAGCCCCTAAACACGGGACGCCAGCTCCACCAGGTGAGCTGTGGCGGTGCGCTGTTCAGAAATACTCATTATGGATTCATTGACTTTGTGATGTAAAAGGACAATTTCTGCAGCTTCTCTCAGCCGTAATATTTGGGTTTTGTTGGACATAAATTAACCGCCATGGATCGTGACTTCTACAGAAACAAATAATCAATCAGCTGTCAGTCATTAAATAAACTGTCGGCCATTTTGACAACTAATTAGTTGGTTTAAGTAATTAGTCAAGACAAAAACACTCTCTGATTTCAGCCTCTAAAATGTGAACATGTTCTCCTTTCTTTCGTCTATGACAGTAAACTAAATGGGAACTACTTGTATGGATAGATGGATAGATAGATAGATAGATGGCTCCAACAATGAAAATACAACACATATGAAAACACACTTAAGACACAAGCTCAGAAAGCACAGAGAATTGTTAAAAAGAAATAGCAGCTGATAAAATGTACTGTTCAGTGTCTTATTTCATTTTGTTCAGGGTGGTTATTGCAGTGGGAATGAAGGATTTTTTTATATTTTGAATGATTTTTTATTTTTTTTTAGAGACCAAACAATTAATTGATTAATCAAGAACATGATCGACAAAGAAAATAATCGTTAGATCAGCTTTTCATTTCACCATGTGAGCACGTGTTGACCAAGCTTTATCGGACAGTAAATTAAATTTAGAGTTTTCATGTCATTTATACTTTTATATTATTCATTTATTATTACCACTGTTTCCACACTGAACCTCTGCTCACATAGATCTCTACAACCTCAGTGTCGTGTTTATTTTATTGCCGTTTAATTTATCTGTTGATATTTTGCCAATTAATAGTTTCGTATAAACGCCCAAAACCAGTAAAATTGCAGGGTTGTTTTTTTTTTTTTTTTGCTTTTGCAAAATGTTTATTAGCCAGTGCCAGTATGGTGAGAATTTAGAATTTAAAAAAATAAAATTACTGTCTTTAGCCAGTTTTGTTATTTGTAGTTTTATTTACTGAAGCATAATATACTTTTTTGTGCTTTAAATGTTCAGAAATAACAGGAAAATGTCCAGACTTGTGTCAGGTCTGGTGACACAGACTGGTTGTTACGCAGACGATGACTAAATGATTTGTAGAAAGTACCTAATTGTAATTTCTTCGGCGGACGTTGTGATTATATCTCTGATACGGAGGGAGGCATGAGTTTGTGAAACCACTGACACAGCAGTTTAGATTCAGGTTCAGTTGCGCTGCATAAAGAATTATTTTAATCACTGCTGCTTCAGTTTGCAAATTGTGATTTAGAAAAATTCGATCCTGTCGTGTGTGATGAACCCAAACTCCTGAGATCGGGGAAAACCCTGAAGGGGATTCTTTAGATCACGTCTTTGTTCCACTAACAGTTACTCATGTAAAGAGATTTAATTTAAACTATTATTCAGCAGAGAAATGCACAAAAAACTCACATTTTAGAAGCCGGAGCCGCTGAATGTTAGCCACAGTTTGATGAACGAGTTCCTGGTGATCAAATATTTGTTGTTAATTGAAAATCTTGTCTTTCCTTTTGTAATTCGTTAATCTTTCACTAATGTGAATCATATGTCTTACGTTTCATTAATCGGCTTTACTTCGGCAACTAGAATTAAAACAGGCTGTGATTTTCAGCTCAAAAAAAAACTGGGACGAACTATCTGACAGCATGAAATTTACAATAATGAAGTTATTCTCGTGACGTCTTGTGTTGCGTCTGGAAATGACAGGACTCTGTTTGAACATGACGCTAATAAATGTGGAGTAATCTGTACGTATTCACTGAAATGAAAAAGAGAAGTATGAAAAAACCTCTAAAATGCCGAAAGAAATCACTTCATTTCCCAAATATTCCTGTTTACATCAGGCTTTAATCGATTTTATCCACTTTTTTGTGACACCATAAGCAGTTTTTTCTGTATTTCTTAAGATAAATCTGTCCCAGTGATCATTTAATCTTTACAGTGTAAAAAAACAGATACGGTTTAACTGCAGTTTCCCAATAACAGTGTCTAAAAATAGTATTTTTTTCCTGATAAATGCTCCAAAAACTGTTAATATATTCAATTTATAACGATCCAGAGCAATGCAGTAACATCCGATGACGTCTGTTATGGATTGGTTGTGAATCAACGTGTGACATTTTCTAATATTTTTGCAGAGTGTTGCTCAATAGGGATTCAGATTTAAAGTTTTGCAGGTTTCTGATGTCCCAGTCTGCACGTCATGAGGGTTAAATACTTGTTTTGTGGTAAGTTGAGGATGTTAAAGCGACAGTACAGTCTAAGCCTTGCGTATTTTTAGTCCCCGGCTCTGGCGAAATGATGTTAGGACCGCACAATATTACATCAGTGGAGCCTCTTTTAAAGTGTGTGGGCTGAATGTCAGCTCGTGTGGGCTGCTCCTGTTTGTGTGGTGCATTTGTATGATGAAGCGGCCTGATAAGTGGCCATTAATCTGCCCATTGTTGCTCAGGCGACAGTGAACCTTTGTCCTTGTGGGTCATTTGCTGCTGCTGCTGCTGCACTTGTCTGAGGATGTTAGTCATTAAAAAAAAAATCCTTTTATTCTCACTTTTTCTTCACTTTCTACTCGTTTTAAGCTTTAAAAGTCCAAATCATTGTCAAACAGATTGGTCACCGGCGCTGAAAGATAAATAAAACAGATCTGCGTGCACCTATTTTTCCTGCCTCCCGCTGTCGGCATGCCTTCCGTTGCCGTGGAGAAACCGTAGCAACATGGGTGCCATCGCCATGGGAATGTCACCGGGGAGGAAGCGACCTGGGGATGCAGCAGCAGAAAGCCTTTTGGAGAATAACTCCTCCTCGTGACACGTTCAGGGTCAGCTGTTGACCCCCGACAAGCGCTCACAACCCGAAGCCTTTCATTTCTGCCACCCACAGCTGCCCGGCCTCTCATTTCATCGCTGCTGCCGAACACTTTTCCTTCCATGCACGTTCTCTTTCTAACAAAGTGCACCTCTTGCTGTTTTCACAGCTTGAGCTCTGTGTTTGTGTGCAGCATTTCTTTGGTCACTGTGAGTCACATTTGTGGAAATTGTGTGGTTGTGTGATGTCAGTTTTTTTTTTTTTTTTGTACTTTCCAGTTTGGCATTTATGAAAATTCATGTCAAATTAGCGTGGTGTGTCACTCGCCTACTTCTCCTCCTTTCTGGCAAAAGGCCGCGTCACTCAGAAGAAATCCGCGGCTGCCGAGCTGGTCTTTATTTTAAAATGTCACCCAACTCCGTAACCTTTTATACGGTCATTATCAGATTGATGTGGGGATGACGCGTCGGCCTGTTTGCTTCGGCTGTTCATCAGCTCGACATGAGGAAGCCTTCAACATCCCGGACCGTCTTCAGTCCCAGCTCACAGCGTCAGCACTTTCCTGCTTATTAACCACTTCCTTCCCGCAGTTTGTCCCCATTTTAAAGCTCTGGTTTGATCTGTTTTGTGATGTTAAAATGTCATGATATGGATTATTCAGATTGCTGCTGCTGCTGATACATGGGTTGGTTTCTAGATGGAGCATTTTGTAGGATACACGTTGCTTATGAAAAAAACATGCACGTATCCAGAGATTAATCAGTCTGAAAAACATCAATTGCCCGCTTTAAGAGAGAAATGAATACGATTACAGAATAAACCAGGAATATTTGTTAAACAAAATACACGAGTGGATTCATTTTGGCTCCTCAGACAGCGACATGCAATTACTTTATAGAGTTATAATGAAGGAAAACACTTCCATCCAGGGGTTTTTTTTTGGCCCCAAATGTTTTTTTTTTGTTTGTTTGTTTGTTTTTTTTTGGGTGACACTGATTACAGTGAAGGTAGCGACTCTGTGTTACCTTATTGGAAAGACATCTGTCTATTTTCCTTTTATTTATGACCATTTGATGAACAAAAATGTTAATTATGCTCGATTAGATGAAACCCCAATTAACAAAACTGGTTAAAACACTGAATTGCTACTTTTATTCTCAGTTTTTATCATTTATTTTCCTTTGGTGCTGACTCAAACCTCTGTGGAGGACACTAAGAATGCCTTAATGCTAAAAAACAACAACAAAACATGAGATCCAATCAATATCCTAATAATAGGGCTGCAGGTAACACTTATTTCTATTTTAGTTTTTTGTCTTTTCTGTCTATAAAATAGTAAAAAAAAAGTCCCTGAAGTTCACGGTGATGCCTTCAGAAGATGTTGCTTTGTCCACAACCCAAAGATGATCAGTTTACTGTCGTAGGGGAAGAAAGAAACCAGAAAATATTCTCATTTAAGAAGTTGTAACCACAGAGAATTCACACTTTGTCTCTTTAAAAAATGGCTAAAACCAATGAATCGGCAATTAAAATAGCTGACAATCAAGTTAACAGTTGATAACTAATTGATTTATTGTGGCAGCTGTTGAAGTTACCATCCATAACAGGCAATTTATGGCCAATAAAGACAAAATATTGTTTTAAAATGTGCGAAAACTGTAAATACAGCCGAGAGGACCTGCAGAAAGTTACATTACGTAGCCATTGCATCCAGTAGTATTGTAAAAATATGAGTTAAAGAAACTTTATGTGCACATATTAATGTTATAACTTTGAAATATTTCGATCAATATTTACGATACTTGTGGACTTGCAAGACATGAGGGAATATGTGAAGTGAAACATACTGATAACAATATGACTTGTGATAAATACATTGTAGGGTGCACATGAGCAATAAAACGATGGTTTAATTGCATATTTTCCTATTGTGAAAATACGATTTATTGGCCAACACTATATACAAGCACGTTAAAATTATCGTTGCTGTAGTCGTCAAGAAATCCAGAGTTTGCCGTAAACATTTTTGTTTCTTCTGCTTGTGTCGTCGTAGGAGCAGCTGAAGCCCAGGCCTTGTTTTCATTGCCACGGCGACCCGACTATGGCACCCTCGGGAAGCCCATCAAGCTTCTGGCCAACTGCTTCCAGGTGGAAATCCCCCAGATCGACGTCTACCTGTACGAGGTGGACATCAAGCCGGACAAATGTCCACGACGGGTCAACAGGTGACCAGACGCACCAAAACTGATTTAATCCTCCTGCTTTCTACGACCTTTAACTCATTTTAACAGATAGATATCGTTCTAGCAGCACCAGCAGGACAGCGTGAAGCTATTTTGCACCTTGGTTGGTGTTGATGTGATTTATGCATCGTGGTGGTCTTTCAGGGAGGTGGTGGACTCCATGGTGCAGCATTTCAAGGTGACCATCTTCGGTGACCGACTGCCGGTTTATGATGGGAAGAGAAGCCTCTACACTGCCAGCCCACTGCCCGTCGCCACCTCTGGGGTGAGAATGAAACACTTTTCTAAATCAGTGGTCAGCCATGTTAACGATCAGCAAGTTTTTAACCAGGACACTTCATGTTTGTGGCAAAATCAGCTTTGCTACATACAGAATTGAAGGCTAGATGAAGTGGAAATGACAGAAAGCTTAATTTAAAAATGCCGTTTAACAGCTGGCCCAACAAAATCCAGAGTTTTAAACGAGCTGCAGTCCTCCACAGTAAACAGTCTGTAATGTAGCTGATCTACATGATGGGTTGACCTGTTTGCTGTAGCTGCTGCAACTTTTATCAGTCCAGAAAATCTGTCTAAATACTTTCAGTACGTGTTTATACTCAAAGCAGAACGTCACCGGTGAAGTTCATTACTTCAGTGTTGTCGCAAACTTATAATCAGAGTCCTGCTGCTCCTGAATGTTAGCAGAGTCTCTGCTCCTAGCCTGAGTTAGCATTTAAAAATCTTAGCTTAGCGTTAGCATTTAGCCTCAGGAAGCTTCCTAAGCCAGACAGCTCGCAGACGTCTTTTGTACAACTTAAGCTTTGTCACATGCAGACTTTGAAAACCGGATAAAGTTAATGCTATGTTATTTATATTACAAATTAAATAGAAAAAAACCTAACCGGAGGCCCGACAAAATCCAGCGTGTTGAACACAGCAAACGAGCTGCAGTCCTCCACAGTAAATATCCTGTAACGTAGCTGATCTACATGAAGGAGTGTTCACTCTCGCTGTTGGAAACTTTATAAGTCCAGGCAATCTGTTAGTGTTTTCCTCAAAAATGGATTTACACTCAAAGCAGAACTTTGCAGATAAACTCAGTTTAATGTTGTTGGAAGCTTGAAGTCAGAGTCCTGCTGCTCCTGAATGTTAGAAGCTTCTCAGGTCCCGGCCTCTGTTAGCAGTTCAGCATCCTAGCTTAGCGTTAGCATTTAACTTCAGACAGCTAGCTAAACCAGACAGACGCAACTTTAGTCTACAGAGTGTATCAATGTGACTGTGGCAGTTAGCAGTTAGATAGCAGGGAGGTGCACTGGATTTATGCAAACACACCTGTGACTCCTATCTGAGTAAACAGCAAGAGGCTCCGACTAGTGGAACAACCAGGTACTACAGCTAAACTTCAACACATTTATTCGATTTAACTATTATCGACAATCCTTACCATGCCAAGTCTGGTGTTTTGTGCACAGTCATTGGCTTTCTAGTCATCAGTATAGACTTTTATGGCTGAAATGAGCCTGCCCAGGTGAACCTTGGTGATAGAAGCCTTGGAAAACACGCTTTGTATCATTGATCAGCAGGCCACAGTAAACGCTCTCATCCTCCTCCTCAGGTTGATCTGGACGTCACCCTGCCAGGCGAAGGTGGGAAGGACCGACCGTTTAAAGTCTCCATCAGATTCGTGTCGCTGGTCAGCTGGCACATGCTGCACGAAGTCCTGACGGGACGATCCGTCGCTGAGCCGGTGGACCTGGAGAAACCGGTCAGCACCAACCCGGTCCACGCCGTAGACGTTGTCCTTCGACATCTGCCCTCCATGAAGTGAGTTCACAAACATTAACACCATCCCGTCACACGGAGGGCTGAGTATGTGGCGTAGCTCCTTGTTTTCAGGGTGTAAAGTTTGATTAAACTCTAAATCACGACTGTTAACTCAAAGCAATCAGGACCGATGACTGCTGCTGCTGGTGCTCCAGTTCACCGTCACCTCGCTGCAGTTTTCAGTATCGATAACAAAACATTAAAGACAAACTCTAAATGCTTCTGAATTAAGCATGAGAGCAGCATTTCCTCATGAAATCTGATCAGATGATCCCTGCATCCTGCAGATACTGTATAGCCCTGCTGATTTATTATGCAGCATGTCAGCCTCGCCATTGTCACATATTGCAACAGGTGCACTTTGGTGGACGCATGCTCGTCCCCCTCAGGTGGATATATTTTTAGAATTCAACACGGCGATCTGGATTAAAAACATCATGTAATCTACCTCAGAGTGTGTCATTTGGTGAATCCATTAACCAAAATAGCTTTTGGTAACATGAACGAAAGCCTTTTTAGCCTCCCGTGGTTTGCAGCTTGTTATGCTGCACCGGGTGAACCTCACAGGGCACGCAGCTCCCAGCCCCGGTGGAGGTTTATTTTTGGCCTCCGCTAACCTTGGTGTCACCTGTGTGTCCTCCCCAGGTACACTCCTGTTGGACGATCCTTCTTCTCCTCCCCGGAGGGCTATGACCACCCGCTGGGCGGAGGGAGGGAGGTTTGGTTCGGCTTCCATCAGTCGGTCCGGCCGGCCATGTGGAAGATGATGCTCAACATCGATGGTGAGTCAAGAATGAGGAGCATCCATAGGAACAGTTGAAACACATCCACTTACCTGCAAAGAGATCAACTCCTTTCTTTTATCTGTTCAATAAACAGACAGCCGTGATGCCAGCTGGTTAGCTTTGCATAAAGACTAGAAACAAGCATCAGAATCTTGCTTTGCTCCATCCACAAGAAACTAGTTGTTGCATCCCGGCTCGTTTAGGGTACAGGGATACAGCACCTCTTTGGTTGTTTCTGGTTTAGCAACATACTTTTTAGCAAAGTAAGATAATTAACAAACAAAGAGGACAAACCTGCAAAGAGAGAACAGGGTGACTGTGGTTTGCTGAGTCACAGAAGGAAATAAAAATCAAACAATGGCTCATAGTCCTCCAACCTGCTTGGCGATTCCCACATAAACTCCTGGTCTACCTAATCGAAGAACTACTAACTAAACGTGGGTGTGCTGGAAATGCTAAGAATGAATCGTGTCTAGAAGTTGATCCTGGTGTCAAATGAAGGTCAAACGGTCCTTCCATCGTCTAGAACTGGTTCTGACCAACCACCATCACACATGCTGGTATGAGCCTGGAAAGTTTACCCAGAATGCACTTTGTAAAGTTTCCTCTGGTGAATGATCAGAACCAGAACCACATCCAGGGTACCAGTGATTGTTTCTATGACTCTGCGGCAGTCTGACTGGTACCACTATGACACATCCTATAATACTGATGCTACCAGCTGCTGACAGAGGACATGAACAGAACCAGGTCCAGTGTTCAGACTGAGACACCTGGATGGATGTAGAACTGATCTGGTGTCAGGTTCTGGCAGAACTCAGATGTGTTCTTCCTCCTAAATGTCATGTGTCTATCTGCTGTACTGATGAAGTTCTGAGGCTCAGAAATGATGGAAAAAGTCCATTAAAGTGTGAAATCTGGACCTTCAAGGGCCTGGAAGTCTGGAAATGTTTATAGTGTGAAGACAGAATTTTGCATGGTTTCATTAAATATACTAAAGTTATTGTGCATCAAAAATCAGCTGATTCTGAGGAGGTCAGACGGGAACTTTATTCAGATTTGATTGGTTTTATGAGAGATGACTTTGTTCAGACGAGGAGTCGCTACCAGCCAGCACACACAGAAGAACAGCAGGCTGCCAGCAAATATTACAGAATTGCAAAGACAATAAGAGGCGCAGAGACGAGCTGCTCGTGTTAAATCACAGACGTTTCAACCCGATGCAGTTATGGGCAGCAGTCCAGTCGGTCTCGAGGGATAACGAGGGCTGGAGCTCCATGACGGCGGTCTGGATGTGGTCAAAGCACGACAACCAATCCTGGTCATGCAAAAAGCCTCATTTGCATCTGCAACAGTCAAAGTGAAGCCTCCAAAGGCTGTAGCTCCTCCAGCTCAGCACACTTAAACCTGGCTAGCTAACATATTATTTTTTGTTTGGTTAATCCACTCAATAAGAGGTTTAAAACTATGAGCGGCGGTTTTACTGGTTTTACATGCTTGACTTCTACTTGGAGGCTTGTCAACAGATTCCAGGAACTCATAGTGCCTGGGCAAGAAATAATTGCGCATAAAGCCCCTTGTAAAGGAACAATAACAGGGATTTAATGCTTTATTTATGTACAGGATTTAAGTAAAATAGATACAACATGTTAATTAGTGAGCTTTAGAGGTGCAGTTAGATGGATTTAGTTAATTGTGGACATGGCCAGGCCTGCTGTGTGCTTCAATCTCAGCTCTGTTGTACTGAAAACTTGCTGTAGCAGAAAGCTCTGTTGTCTGAGCCTTTGTTTTAACCCAAGCTAGGATGTCAGAACAGTGTTTTTCTCCTCAGTATCCGCTGTACAGAAATATTTGGGAATGCAACCCCTTAAACAATTAGCCGTCACAACGTGTCTGACAGAAAAATCAAGAGTTATGATTTCCTTTCTGCCAGTGATGCTGCAAAACTACTAATCAAATTAAAATGTTCTTTTGTCTTAACGAAAACCTCGTGATGGGCTCAGACCGTCCCGTGTGTCTTCAGAAGGTTGAACAGTTTCTGTGTTTGTTGTTGAAGTGAAGTGGCACGTCACATATAAACATTTATCCACCTCTGCTCTGCATCGCTGGCATGTTTCGTTTGTTTGTTTTTTTTTTACATTTCTGCTCGGTTCTGTGTTGTTTCAGTGTCAGCCACAGCGTTCTACAAGGCCCAGCCCGTCATCCAGTTCATGTGCGAGGTCCTGGACATCCACAACATCGACGAGCAGCCGCGACCTCTCACCGACTCGCACAGAGTCAAATTCACCAAAGAGATCAAAGGTACGTCGGAGAGGATCGGCTGCACGTTCAAAGCCTCACCCCGTCATGTTTTAGTCATCTCCAGAGTATCAGATGCAAAATGGGGAACAGATGAAAGCTTAATCTCTGCGATGTGTGAATTTATGCTAACTCAGTTGTTCCATTGTTTTGGAAAGAGCTTCATGTATTACTATCGTTTATCTCCTCCACCATCTTCACAGGTCTTAAAGTGGAAGTGACACACTGTGGAACCATGCGTAGGAAGTACAGAGTCTGCAACGTAACTCGGCGGCCCGCCAGCCTCCAGACGTATGTTTCCACGTCGCACCTCCGTCGCCGTTAGCGGCCGTCGGCGTACGATAACGGGAGATCCTTGTCGCTTTTTTTTGCAGGTTTCCGTTGCAGCTCGAGAACGGCCAGACAGTGGAGCGAACCGTGGCGCAGTACTTCAGGGAGAAGTACAGCCTGCAGCTCAAGTACCCCCACCTGCCCTGTCTGCAGGTGGGGCAGGAACAGAAGCACACCTACCTGCCACTGGAGGTAGGAGCCGGATGATGCCGCCTCCAGACGTTACATCATGAAAGATTGTTATTATTACGCGTCACTGGTAGCAGTTTGAGGCATTTGCATGTTTTCCTGTGACAGAGAAGCGTTCAGCAGCCATCACGTACAGACAGGATAGTTTCCATCAGATCTAAAGGGTTGAATGGCTCCAACTGAAGCAACATTTCATTTAAAACAAAGATGGTATTGTGTCCCCAGAAAGTTCCTATATGTGTTTATATATGGATGTTTGCATATTTCATACTAAAAATCCAGTCTTTGGTTGATATTTCACCAACGGTTGAGGCCTCTAACGTCAGTAGAATTTGATTTGTGGCAAATATGGCAAGACAAGGTTCCAATTTTTTGATGTTTTGACAAAATATGTATGTGGATTCATTGATAGCAGCTCAAAAACTGGTGTTCATGTGGGTCTATATGTTGTCATTATATGTGCAAAGTTACAAGCAGCTTCCATGTTGAAATTTAACCACATACCAGGCTTTTTTTTTTTTTACTGAATGTCCCCACACATACACTATCAGAGAAACTGATGATCTCAACTCAATACCAATACTCGCTTTTTTTTTTTTTTTTCCGTCCCTGTTCTCTCCAATACTCGCTTTTTTTTTTTTTTTTTTCATCCGTTTTCAAGGCTGAATAATTAAAAATGCAGCCTCTGCTGAAGTCATTAAATCCTTCAGGAAGAGTACCATGCCTTTAACACATGGACGAGACTGAAAGAGCTGTTCCAGTTGTTGAAAAAAATTAATAAATGTAAATGTGAAACTTGTAAACTTGACTGAAAACAGCCACTCCTGCAGCCTCCTGGTCATTTGATGCTGATTGGTTTTGGGCAAAACCAAACAAGAAGAGAGCTCAGACACAATGATTGACATATTTTAAAATAATAAAAGTGGATCCAAACAGTAAAGTTAAAATGGCAAAAACACAAGAAGTAAAGAGACAACTGTAAAGACAAGAAGAAGATAAAATATTACAAATGAAAGATGAACTCAGATCAACCGTAGTAAGAAAAGGTGGTTTCAGTCGGATTATTGAGCTGAATTAAGACTCGGCTTTACCTGAATTTCTTCTCTTTTTTTACATGTAGGTGTGTAATATAGTTGCTGGGCAGCGCTGCATCAAGAAACTAACCGACAACCAGACGTCCACCATGATCAAAGCGACGGCCCGCTCCGCTCCGGACAGACAGGAGGAGATCAGCCGGCTGGTGAGCGTCCCGGAAACCAGAAGCGACAGCGCGAAGCTTGTTCTTCTTGTCTTTTTTTCTTCTTAAAATAACTTTCTTTTTTTTTTTTCCCTCTCAGGTGCGGAGCGCCAACTACGAGGCCGACCCGTTCGTCCAGGAGTTCCAGTTCCGGGTGCGAGACGAGATGGCTCAGGTGACGGGCCGAGTCCTGCCGGCCCCCATGCTGCAGTATGGCGGCAGGGTGAGCGCTGAGCCCTTCATGGTACCTTCCCCTTTAAATCACACTTTTATATGCGTGTGTGTGTGTGTGTGTGTGTTTGAAACAGCAGCGTTTCCTCAGTGTGTGACAAGAAAAGTGCACTTTAAAATCCTAATTATCATCACTCAGTTAAAAAAAAATTGATTTAACATCTTTTGGTGGCACAAATTTCTGTTTTGAATCCAAAAACTCACATTTAGTGATTCTTTCAAATGTAGCTTAAAGTTTACATCTTAGTAATTTAGGACTTAAATTTAAGTTCTGTGAAATGTTTTGGCTGAATTTTGACAATTTCATACATTTTCAGACCTGGCAGTTTTTGTATTTCCCCTCTAAAAACCCTGAAACACCATATTAAAGGTTCAGTAGCTCCAGAATAATAACCAGCACAGCCATGCAATCAGGTGAGGGCACAATGTTCCCAGCAGATCTAAATGGTCGTATGGCTTCAGCAGAGGACACATTTTTAATTATTGGATCTTGAAAAGGGGGGGGGAAAGTGCACAATTTTTAAACCAGTCTGCTGCTGGAGCTCCAGAAAGTTCCTGTAAGTGTTCGTAAATATGGACGGATCCACATTTCCAACTAAAAATACAGAATTCAAGAAATATGTTGCTGCGCCGTCTTAGTTGTTTATTATTTGGAACCCAAAATGTAGTGACTGTAAAATATTTTGGCTGAAATTTGGCAATTTTCTTAATTTTTGTTATTTCGCTCTAAAAAAACAAAACAAAACATTTTGCCTGAGAAGCCATTTTAAATGTTAAATATCTCTAGAAATATAACTCCCACAGCTATAAAATGTGTTGAGGATAGTTTCCAGTAGATCAAAACAATGAATTGGCTCCAGCAGAGGACCACGTTTTCAGTTTTGGTCCTTAAAAATGAAAGAAATAAAATTTTTTGAAAAAGACGGATGATATTGGAGCCCCAGAAAGTTCCTGTAAGTGTTTATATACGGATGGTTCCAAGTTTTCTACTAAAAAATACAATCTTTGGTCGCGTTTCACCAACTGCTGAGCCTCTAGCGTCAGTCGATTTTGATGTGTGGCACATATGGCAAGACAAGCTTCCAGGTTTTAGATGTTTTGACAAAATGGTGATGTGGACGTTGTCTTCATGAGTGCATTTAACAAATTGTTTTGCTCCCAAACATGTACTGAGCAGAGAAACTGATGATAATTTAGCACATCACCACCTACGTTTGACTTTCTTCCCTTTTTAAAGACCAGCGATTAGAAATGAGTTCATTGTTTGGATCTGCTGGAAACAGATTTCTCTGCGTCCTCACCACGTTTAATGACCGTGACAGGTCTATTTCTGGAGACGTTGAACCTTTAAAATGGCTTCTAAACTCTTGACAAGATCTGAGATGCTGCTGCAACATATTTGCTAAGTTCTGCCTGTAAAAGAATGCTGTGTGTGGTGACTGAGTGTTTTGTGGGGAAACCCTGTGTGTAGATGTATTTTTTCATGTTTGATCTGATCCACAGTCCTCTCTGATTAAATCTCTCACATCCTGAACTTGCACTTTTGTGAATTTGCTTTGGTTTCACCCTCTTTATCAGATGAATGCTGTTTTGAGAAATCATCCAGAAGTGGCCGTTTTGCATGTCTATCACAGAAAATTGCATTTACGATTCACCTTCTATGCATGGCCCAGTCGGAGGCAAACGCAGATAAAACTCAAAGATTAACAATCAGCTCATCAGCCAGTTAAACGACCAGCTGATCCTGAGCTTCCACTCGGCTTCCCTAATCTGTGCTGCATCCGTGAGTTGTGTGTTGTTTGTGCGGCTGCCAGCAGATCAACCCTGCACTGTCGTTGCAGAACCGCACGGTGGCCACGCCGAGCCACGGCGTCTGGGACATGAGGGGGAAGCAGTTCCACACCGGTGTGGAGATCAAGATGTGGGCCATCGCCTGCTTCGCCACCCAGAGGCAGTGCAGGGAGGAGATCCTCAAGTGAGCTCAGCAGCGTGTTTGTTCTGTAGTTTAGTCCGTTAGCAGTAGAATATAGAAAGTACAAACGGTAACCACAACGAAGGACAATTACAGTTTTGCAAAAAGCTTTCTTCTGTCACATTTTTACTTACTGTCGGCTCATTTTTCACAAGTCCTGAACCTCTCCGGAAACAGAATGAAGAAGGAAAGAACTCAGAAATGCCTACAAAGCTGTAATGCCATAAATCATAAAATAAATAAAGAGAGAGGTAAAATTTATTATTTGTTGCACAAAAATTGAAATAAACCTGCAATCACAATCTACAAGATTTTTCCAAGTGAGCACAGGTGTTAAACTCTGGAATAAAAGAATACAATACAATTCAACGTCCTTTATGAGTCACACAAGGGGAAACCTGCAACGTGACAATAAGAAAACCAAGAAAACACAATTAAATAAAATAAAGAAGCAAGGCGTATACACAATATAAATAAGAAAAACAGGAGGATACTAAGGACACAAATTTAAGAATATTTACATGAAAGCTCTATATTCTATAGATATTTTATTATTTACATTTTTAAAAAAAAAAAATCATTTTCATCCCTGTCTCGTCTCTATTTGTGATCGTTTTCTTAAATTAAACATGCAGAATAAACTGATTTTGATGCGTCACAGTTGAAAAAGTCACAGATGTTTGTCAGAAAGTTGAAAATCTAAAAATTCTCTCTGTCTCTGATTTCGACGTTCGTTTAAAAGATCATGTGCCTTTCACGCCTGTCGTCGGGTTTTGGGGTTCAGAGGCTTTAAAGACGCCAGTCAAACATTAACTAATGGATTTGTCCTTAACTCCTGGCTTCTGACTCTGATGTTGTTGGCAAACAGACTTAAAGATTCCAGAGCTGCCTCTTTAATGTCAGTTAACTACAACATTTTCAAACGTAAAGCAGGTCGCCTGAAGGTGACATTAACAGGAAAATGCCCACTTTGGCGACTTCTCTTTTTTAAAATATAGCTGGAAATTAATATTTAGGACCACTTTATAGCAAAAATAGTGTAAAAATGTCCGTCTTGGTGTGTTTTCAGATGTAATTAGAAGGTAAACTGACCAGTGGTGTGAGATACACAGTTTATATTTAAGTATAAACAATAATTTACACAAGGCATTTGTTGTAAACGCTAATGCAGATGTTTTCATTGTCCGTTAGTAAGAAAAAAAACACCTAAATCAAAAGTTAGAGAAAAACTTTCTGTCAATATTTTGAAAAATTCTCATGATCTAAACCAGCATCTGGATGTTGGACCAAAACGGAGGAAAAGGTTTTGGCTGGATTACAGCAGACGAAGGGCTTAAAGTGTTGAAAAGAAATGTTTGAACACAAGTTAGTTGTTCCTGAAATGACCTGTAGAACAGCAAAGTTTAACTTGGATCTCACTGAAATGACCTGATTCTATGAAGACTTTCCGTCCAGAACAGGAACTAAAGCCGACCTCATCGTTCTCCTCATCCTGATTGTAACACTCAGCTCAGCACTGTAACGTGAGCGCTGTGTTTACGTTGTTTCCTCGCAGGAACTTCACCGACCAGCTGCGTAAGATCTCCAAGGACGCCGGGATGCCGATCCAAGGCCAGCCGTGTTTCTGTAAATACGCCCAGGGAGCCGACAGCGTGGAGCCCATGTTCAGACACCTGAAGAACACCTACGCCGGGCTGCAGCTCATCATCGTCATCCTGCCGGGAAAAACGCCCGTCTACGGTGCAGAAATACTCATCATTGCTTCTAAATCATCAGAAAGAACAGTTTTGTACAAACCTCTGAACTCTGGTCTGCTGTTGTCCTTCATACAGACGAGAACAGGAAGCAGACCGACTCCAGTCATGTGTTGTTTATGAGGCACGTAGCTGCACGCGGTTAGCGGTTAGCGTATGATTAACGTGATTTGTGACCCACAGCTGAGGTGAAGCGTGTCGGGGACACGCTGCTCGGCATGGCCACCCAGTGCGTCCAGGTGAAGAACGTGGTGAAGACGTCGCCACAGACGCTGTCCAACCTCTGCCTCAAGATCAACGTCAAGCTGGGAGGCATCAACAACATCCTGGTTCCTCACCAACGGTAAAATCATGAGACAAATGAGCACTAAACAAAACACACAGAGGCCATGTGGGTTCACAGATTCACTCTCTTTGACCTCCTGATGAGTTGTTCCATCTCTGATGTTCAAAGTCCTTCTGCTCAAACGTCTCCGATTGGTTTTCATCATGAACTTTGAATATTAAAATGGTGTCTGTAAAGTTTGAGCTTGATATATTAAAATGCTTTCCAAGAACATATTTGTTAAACAAATTTGTCCATCTCTAATCTCTGCGATGTGTATCTTTAATTGTTCCTGAGATGATGTTGTTCACTCAGCTTCAGGTTTCAATGTGTGAAAAAACAAAACTTCTGAAACTGGCAATTTAGAAAAATAATAAATGTATCTAGAAAAATATTTCATATGTCCATCTAACATTTCACACGTTTCTTTAAAAATATTCTGAATTTTTGCAGTAAAAAGTTCAGACTTATCAGAGGTGATGGAGCAGAAATCAATAGAAATATGTGAAGATGCAGTGACTCAGGTTTGCTTGACTTTAACTGGACGGTGTTTTTTTTTTTTTGTTCCCTCCAGACCTACTGTGTTCAAGCAGCCGGTCATCTTCCTCGGCGCTGATGTCACTCATCCTCCGGCCGGAGATGGGAAAAAGCCATCGATTGCAGCGGTGAGGCTTCATTTTAAGGGGGAAAAAAATCGACTTTTCCAGCTACTGTGCCCACTGGAACTACCCATGCATGTTGTTTCTGGTTCTGAAGTTCATAGTCAACCACAAGTCTGGCAGAGTCCAGAGCTTCTGCTGTAACTTTAGGACTTGACGGTGTTTCTACAGTAACGCTGGACGAGTCTAAACCCTGTTGTTCCTCCTCCACAGGTGGTCGGCAGCATGGACGCCCACCCCAGCAGGTACTGTGCCACGGTTCGGGTCCAGAGGCCCAGACAGGAGATCATCCAGGACTTGGCCTCGATGGTTCGAGAGCTCCTGATCCAGTTCTACAAGTCGACCTGCTACAAGCCGACCAGGATCATTTTCTACAGGGACGGAGTGTCGGAGGGCCAGTTCAGACAGGTAGACACGGAGCTCTCCAACACTCCAGAAATACAGTCTGAAGTCTCTGTGCAGCAGAGTCACATTAAAATAAACCCGCCTGCCGTAACGTGCTAGAAGTTCTCCTGCAGTTCTTTGGGTTTGTTACGTATGAAACTGTGGAATCTGTGTTTTTGAGACGGTCATTAGTAAACTGCCGCTTTAAGGTGGCCGTGGCTGCTTATTGCACTTATAATGTGTCTATTAGCTGATTAAAAAAAACAATGTAGACACGTCAACAAGTAGACAAACGTTATTTTTTCACCTCAGGCACTCTTTAGAGGGGCCGTGACGATACAGTTTTGTTTCGGTTTAACATATTTGATCATAAAGATAAGGATATATAGAGCAAACTTTGGGTCTGAACAGGTTTTTCAGGTACTGTTGACTTTCAGCCTCTCAGTTTCAGACTAATTAATGCATGTTCAGTTGAATATTAACTCTTGCATGCATCGAATACAAACCTAAATAAATGAAAATAAGAATTTGGGAAGACGATGGAGAGGAGAAAATGTAAAATGTTAATTGAATTAAGCCGTTAACCTGCATGTGGTGAGTTGAACTAGAATATTTACTGTATTTGAAGGCTTCAGAAATCTCTCTCAGACTTTTCTGTTGCAGAAATAAACTAACTGCAAGCTGGCTTTTCTATAAACAAAATTATTTAAACTTGTGAAAGAATAAAGTATTTTAAATCTGAACCAAATCAAAGATTATCAGCTAAGTTGTAAATCAGCTTTTCTAAACTCAAACATATTAAAATTTCCTGCAGCCATTTTTTTCTGCTGCAAAGCAGTTTGATTTATGAACTTTCCATTTTCATAAAATCTTCAAAACTCTGACGATTATAAACCAGTACTCAGTGTCAGAGCCAGAAACATCTGAACTTTGACTGTGTGCAGCATTTTCTGTTCTCAGTCTCATCGACTTGTAGAATAATGAACCTTTCCTGAAGTCCGTGAATCCAAACCCTGAACGCTGCCTGATTCTGTGCAGGTGCTGTACTACGAGCTGCTGGCCATCAGGGAGGCCTGCATCAGCCTGGAGAAGGAGTACCAGCCGGGGATCACCTACATCGTCGTGCAGAAACGCCATCACACTCGCCTCTTCTGCGCAGATCGCAACGAGCGGGTGAGCAATACGACGGCTGGTTTTCCAGACGTGTGGACGGAGGAAATGATGATTGTCTCCGTTGAAATCACGTGTCAGCGTCTTGTAACGGACAAAAAGAGACTGAAGAGGGATTCTGGGTTTTCAGTGGAAAGCAACTGAAGATGTTTCACCTTCATCCAAGAGGCTCCTTCAGAAGATTATCGCGAATTTGACTTATTTAGGGGGCAAATCGGACACATTTTAAAATAAATCTGTCTGCTAAATCAAATTGAGTGAAAATGAAAGTCTAAGTTGCTGCTTCCTGCACAAATACGGAGGAACTGACTTTGACACTCCTTCGCCTTAAAGCAGGACTTCAAACTGAGCTGTCGCGACACAGAAAGCTCTCTTTATTGTGATAAAATTGGCTCTCTTTAAATTTAAAAAAGAGAAACCCTACACTGGAAAGTTCTGTGGAACTGAAGAAGCCTCTTGGATGAAGGTGATCCTACAAGAGGCGTCCAGGTGTTTCCCACTGAGTCCACGCGGTGACTTCAGGTGACTCGATGTCCTCCTTATCGGCTTGTTTTGTTCTGCTTCACCACCAGGTTGGAAGAAGTGGAAACATTCCTGCTGGCACCACAGTGGACACGGACATCACCCATCCCTACGAGTTTGACTTTTACCTCTGCAGTCACGCCGGGATCCAGGTAAGAAACGACCTTTAAGACGGCTCACTGAGGAAACTCTGTGTGTTTTAAAATGCCTGGTTTGAGCGTTTTCTTTTTACGCGGTGCAATCAAAAAGTTCAGAGACTGTTTGTGATGCATGAATGTGTGTCGTACAGGATTAAATGATTGAGTAAATCAGGTTTTTGATTATAAAAGGTAAAGTTTTAACCAGGAAAAGTCTTACCGCTGCCGTCCTCCTCTGCAGGGAACGAGCCGACCGTCGCACTACCACGTTCTCTGGGACGACAACTGCTTCACGGCCGACGAGTTCCAGCTGCTCACCTACCAGCTGTGCCACACCTACGTCCGCTGCACGCGCTCCGTCTCCATCCCGGCGCCGGCCTACTACGCCCACCTGGTGGCCTTCAGGGCCCGCTACCACCTGGTGGACAAGGAGCACGACAGGTGGAGTTCTGACCCGTTTGTACTGATTATAAGGAGCTTAAAACCAAAATAAATTTTAAAAATGTCCGGTACAGTCCTTCCCCTCTGCTGTGGCAAATAAAATATAACAATACGATTTTAAAAATGTTCAACCTGCCTCAGACTGTAGCGTTTTAGCCACATTATTTATATTAGTTAGATTAAGTTCTGTAATTTATAATCACTCAGAGTCGAGCTTTGTTAATGAATTCGTTAAATTAATCTCCCTCATTATCGTCTCCGTTGTGTTTCAGCCTTCATGTGTGTTATAGTCAAATAAAGTCGTGTTTTATATCATTTCTGTAGAGTTTTATCCCCAGTACGTAACATTTTCAGGTGAAATCACACCTTAAATACCTTTACAGGGTTTGAAAATATAAACAGAAGTTCTCAAAATTCTGTATAAATACTTTACAGGATTTAGTTTTGGGTCCCAAAAAAACAATAAATAAACTCTGAGATGCTCAAGCTTCGGTTTTTCTAAGTTTAACTGTCTTTTTTGTTCCCCAGTGCGGAGGGCAGCCACGTCTCTGGCCAGAGCAACGGCAGGGACCCCCAGGCCTTGGCCAAGGCCGTCCAGATCCACCACGACACTCTGAGGACCATGTACTTCGCATGAACGCCGCCTCCAGAGCGACTCGACGCTCCGGCCGGACGTCGGCGAGGAGCGCGGCCACGTTATGCAACTCGAAACCAGCCAACTGTCTCCGTTAAAGCTCCCTCCTTCCTGCATTTGACAGAAACGTTTATGTCTCTGGGTTTGAAGAACGTCGGAGCAGCCGGCGACGTAGAAACTGACGATTTTTTTCCAGCGAGGACCCGACCTGCTCCTCACGTTGAGTCTCACGTCAGTCACACGTTTGTTTGTGTGTGTGTGTTTTTTTTTTTATTTCCTTCGGTCTTCTAGATCCTATATGTGTCGGCTGCCTTAGCAGTTACTCCTCCGTCTCCCTTTAAGCCTCACGGTCCGTCAGCCAGACAGTCAGAATCGTAACTCTGCACAACACGGATGCTGAACGACATCTTTTAAAGCCACGTACAGCCGTTCTCTGAGGCCTTACAGCGACTGTTAGACAACAACGCCATGGACTCTCAGCCCGGTGCAGAGCGTTGAAACGTCTCTTGTTCCTCGTGAGTTTTTATTTCCAACTCGAATCAATGTTCAGTCCCGGCAGCAGAGCGGATGCTTTGCTTTCTTTCTACCGATTCGAGCGGTGCAATAAGTCATGAGCGAGTTTGGGCAAGTTGACGTCGGATTCAGGAATGTTAATGAAGGAGGCGACGGTGTTTTGAAGAGATTAAACAAAGTGCCTGATCTGGTCAGAGGGCTGGAGGGTTTTTGAAATCGCACGTCTGCTTTGGGAGTTTCTGTCGACGCGAATCTGAATCGCGGAAAACTGCAAAACCCGTTTTTAGTTGATCTCACCGCCAGCCAAGAGAGTGTGTGTGAAGTTTCTCAAGTCAAACGTCTCGCTGAATGCTCTCTAGTCTGAGTAAGAGACGCAGAAAACAGTTTGAATTGTCATAAAATAAACAACTCCTTCTTTCCGCTGACACAAAATCAGTGATGCATGTGTTTAAAGTTGCTGCTTTTGGGGTTTATTCGCGTTTCTTGTCGTTCTTAATGTGACTGTTCGTCTTGTCCGGACCTTTGAGCCTCAACTTTAAGTGAAACTGAAGCTGCGTCCACAATAAAACGCTTCCTTCACGACTTCTGCTGCGTCTGCGCCGAGACTTTAGAAATCCAGAGTTGTGTTTTTAGTTCATTCAGACAAAAATGCTTTTCACGATGCGTTTGCATTATTTACTGCTGATTCTTGGGACTTTTTTTTTTGGTAAGAAAACAAAAACGTCTGTTAGAGATTCATCCGACTTTGGATCACAGCCGTCGTGGATCTTGCGGCTTTTGTGCAGTGAAATCTTGCTTTTCGCCGTTACTCTGGAGTATTTTCTGCAGCTAAACTCACGTTTGCACCAGCAGCTGCCTTCCAGCGTAGACATGCAAGGAGATTCCTCATGACGTGGTGCTAAAACGCATCTTTTTTTGGTTTGAAACGGGATCGGATTCGCGTGGATGTTGCTGAAGTTGCAATTTATGGGATCACTGAGCCTGAAACAGCTCTTATCTGATAGAAATGTCAAGAAATTCAACAAGTTTTTCGATCTCTACGTGATTTCAGTTTAGTTTTTTATAAACAGATCAAAGTTAACAATCCAGGTGAGATCCAGACGCACTCTGCAGCTCCAGATGTGAGTCCGTGAGCAGGCACTAGTGAAGCTTCAGACTGGACGCTCGGATTTCGCGTCCGCTCGTTTGCACTCGACCAGTCGAAGCCTTCAGATTTTCCAAGTCTTTATCACTGACCAGCTTTTGTCTGTTTGAGGAGGTTTGAGTCGCCAAAACGTGTTACCTGTGAAAAAAGAACAAGCAGCAATAGAGAGAAACATCCGGCATGTTTTTCCCCCGCAGACGACGGAGACGTGCTCTTATTTTGGCGAGCCAGCAGCCTTAAAAACCCCAAATACACATTTAATGATTATATTTGAGTGGAATCGACTCTGGTTTTGACAGTTTTTCTAGAGATTCTTCTTGAATTGAGGAAACTCTCTGGCGTTGGACATTTTTCTTGCCCTCAGTCGCTGGTTTGGGGTTTAATCTTTTGGACCAAACCAACGAGCTGATAGAAGAAAGCGTTTCATCGCCACAGAGATGGTAAAGGATTCTGCGGTTCGCTGCACTTGCAGACGAGGTTGTGGTTGCGTTGCAGCCGTAGGGTTTTGAGACGCGTGAGAGCGGCTCGTCTTCGCTGCGTCTTCACGTCACGTTCTACCAGCATTCGGTTTTTACTTGAAGCTCGTTCATGGAGGTGAAATCGCTGCCACACCAGGAAAAAGAGAACATGGAGGATTCTGAATGTGATGTTTTAACACAAACGTGAACAAACTCCTATAAACAATATTTTCTCTTCGGTTTCTTTTGGGAGATATTTCACATTATAATGAATCTTTTACACGATTCTGCTGCTGAAGAGTCGAATCCTTCAGTTCAGCTCAAACTTCAGTCAATCAGGAGTTAGAGGTTTTTACAGTGAAGGTTTGCAGTTCTAGCGTTTAAACTTCTTGTTATAACGTGAATATATTTAAGTAAAACATAAATTCCTTGTTATAGCAAGACTATATTTTCTTATAAAACCTCTTGTTTTATCATTAATATATCCTGTTGCATCAAGAATGTTTCTCACTATGAGGTGAAAACAGCTGTGATGAAAATATCCAGCTGTGATGTGGTTTATGGAAACATCTGTAACAGCATAATTATATCTGGTTATAATGTGAATATATCTCATGATGAAATGCATATTTCTGGTTAAAACGTAAAAACACATGCGGTTATAAAATGATCTCATCCTGTGATGTTGTGACAATATGAAGTTCTGATGTGAGGATTTGTGGCTGTAACATGAAAACATCTTGTTATGGCATAAAAGCATCTTTTTATAAGGTGACAACATCGAGTTAGAGCATAAAAACCGCCTGTTTTCACTTAAAAACTTTATTTTTTTCTTTGTCTTTACAACATGACACTGATCTGTTTGAATTTTCCTCGTGTGGCATCTTTTATGGAGCAGTTAGAACGCCAAATTATAAAAATAAATCAATTAAAGAACAATAGAATAAAAGTGGACATGGAAAGAAGAATAAATTAAATAAATAAAAATAATGATGTGGCAATATAAAGCAATATTAATATAAAATTAATTCATAAAAGGATAATAAAAGTAGAAATATAAAAATAAAAATGTCAAAATTAATAAAAACATTAAAATAAAAATGGGGAAAAAAATAAAGATAATACATTTAAAAAATAAATTATTTAAAAAATAAATTATTTTTTATTTTATTTATTTTACTTTATAGTTCTACTTTATTAGCTTTTTCTTTTATGGATTTATATTTGATTAATATTGCTTTATTTTGCCACTTTATTTTTTTTTTATTTCATTTATTCTTCTTTTTATTTTCACCTTTGTTTCATTATTCCTTTATTGATTTATTTTTGTAACTTGGCGCTCTCACTGCTCCGTAATCTTTACCCTGCTGTCGTCGTGGCAGCAGTCAGTTGATGTTTAATAATATTAATAATATTAATAATGAGTAACTGTGTTTGTGGTTAAACGTTTCTACATTGAGCCTTATTCTAACAGAGAGTCGACCTCAGAGCCTGAAGGCAGCTTCACGGACGTCAGATGCCTTTATTCCCTCGAAAACAAAACGCTTTTTTTAAGTCTGAAAAGGTGATATATTTATATTTAAAGATATTAACGTGATGCACAAACCACTTATTTTTTCTAACAGAGTCCTATTTGAAGCAGAGCGGCCGACAGTTGTGATGATTTTCCACGTGTGACTCACTTCTTCATCTCATTATCGACGGTTGTTTGTATTCGTTCTGCATATTACCCAGAGGAGGAGGGTTGAACGTTCAGACTGTGCCTTTCCTGATGGTGCTGATTTAAAAAAAAAGAAATGTAGATGGAGCCTCATGAGTTTGTGTTGATACCTGACGACGCTGTCAGGAGCGATTGTGAGTCTGTGTTTGTGTTTGTGTGTGTGTGGATTCCTCCGACTTATGCCAAGAACAGAAAAAATATGCAGAACTGATCAGTTTGGAGCTGACAGGACCAAAAAAAAAAAAACAAAAATCAAAAAACAGGCCTGTGGGGATCAGTCTATTGGACAGGAAGTCTCAAGCACAACTCCAAAATAAAAGCATTTGTAGGTGACGATAAAACCGGGGAACACGTTGTGTAGCATTATTTATTTATTTCTTTACTGCCTGTTGTGTAGAAACACGTTTTGTTTTTTTTTCTCTCTCCTCCTTTTGTTCATTCTTGATGGACGGCAATAATGAAGCTCCTGTGCAGCGGCTTCGTCGGATTCACCTTTTGTTTAGTTTTTTTTTTTTTAACTTTTAATGTGAAATTCACACGTTTACAGACTTTTAAAAACACAAGTTCTCGTCTCCCCACGAAGACGAATGTGTGTCTGTCTGCATATCGGAGGAGAAAATCTGACGTTTGGGTTTCACAGCATATTAATGTGCTTTTATTGTTTGTTTGTTTGTTTTTTGCCTGATTATTAAATTTTAGAAGTAAAACTGTATTTTGTCTTAACACTCACCTGATCCTGGTCCTACGTTGAGCCTTTTTATTTGTCATATTTAATTTTTTTTGGAATAAATGCTCTATGTATAAACACGCTGTGCGCTTGTGTTTGATGTTTGGGGGGTAAAGTTTAGAAACTTTATTTTTAATCATCTGGAGGAAGTTTAAATTGAAAAGACGCTAATTTTTTTTTTTACACCAAAAAGGAGAATTAACTTGATTTAATTGCTTCGATTGTTAACATGCAATTAAATTAAGTTTATTTAAGTTAATTAATGAAGTGAGATGTACTTTATTTTTAGGTCAACTCAACTTAACGTTTCCATTTTTTTCAACTTAATTATTCACTTGACCCAAATTTAAAATGGAAAACTTGTTGTTCTGTCACTGCTTTTCTTTACTTCTGGAGAAACCTGGTTGAGCTGCAGCAGAAACATCTGAAGGAACAGCAGCTGCACGATGCATCACAGAGAACATTAGTTTGCATTAAAGTGCATTTTCTAACTATTCGTTTATTAACTTTTACTTGCAGTAATCTGAGTCGGCTGCATCCAGCGTTTCTCAGCAGAACACCAGGAGGTTACACAACCGCCAATGTTTGTGTTCTTGCTGACTCTATAAAGTTTAATCAGCGTTCACACCCTCCACCTGCACAGCAGCTTCGTTATTACTGTCAGGAAATGACCAGAGAGCAGTTAGTGGACTTTATCGCTGCCCCTTTGTGTGTTTAAAACGTTATAACTCCGTATTAGCTGTGCAGCGAGCCGCCTCCACTTCCTGCTTTCACAGCTTTTCATTACTTTATCCCTCTGCAACACTCAGCTTTGATTAAACGGTGTCCTCGCTGCACCGGGACAAACACAGACGAGGATATTTGACCAGTTTATTTTACCAGTGTACCCTAATGGCACAGCTTCCAGCTTCATTTACACCCAAAGGTCAGACGGAGTCCATGTCCGGGCTTCAGTCCAGTAGTCTGTTTGGTTTAGGACGCTTTGTGTACTTTACAAAAGGACAGGAAATGATGCACAAATCAGCAAATATACAGACTATAGAAATGATTCGCCCCTCTGAAAGGTTTCCTATTTTACATGATTCATACAACATTGAATCATTGAAAATCAGAATGAAAGCAGAAAAATCAACTTGCACACTGTGAAGTAAAACGACGTCAACAGTTGCTGATTGCTGTGTTTCATGCTTTTATTGAATTGTAGAGCTCTGTTGTCACTTTAAGATGAAAGACATTTTTTTGTACTTTGTTTTTGAGCAATCATGTTGATAAGATTTAGCTTATTATGAAACAACAAATCTGTTTAATACAGACAGTGAGGTTATAATTCTACATAATATAATGTTTTAACTTCGAATACTGCAGCTCGACAAAAGCAGAAAAATCAACGTGCACACTGTGAAGTAAAACGACGTCAACAGTTGCTGATTCACCAGCAATTTGCCCCGAAGAACGGTTCCTGAACCTTCATTTTGTCCATTTTTTTCCCTCAAAGACAAAATAAGTGGTCAGTCCGTGTCATTTCAGATGGTGTCGTCCAAGCGTCCTCCATCTGATGATGTCTGTTGGTGTCAGTAGTTCATGTTCTGTCCACTATGACGAGGAACAGACTCTACAAACAGACCAACAGGACCAACAGCTCCTTTGCTTTGGTAACTGTTATTGTTTTTAGTGAACTTTTTGTCATGATGTGTGTTGACTCAGCATCAGTTTCTCTGTTCAGTGTTCAGTGTTTCCAGGACATGTTTGGGAACATTCATAAAATGAGCCTCGTATGTTGTTCAATTTCAACACGAAGACAACATTAAAGAAACGTTTAACTAATGACGACACATAAACCTCCATGAACACTGGTCCACATCAACACTCTGTCAAAATAGCAAAAACGATGGAATGAAATGTCGACCAAAGAGGAAATATGGATCATCCATACATATATATTTACACATTTACAGGAACTTTCTAGGGCCTCAATATCACCTACGTTTGAAAAATTCAGCACTTTTTTTTTTTTCATTTTCAAGGATCAGTCATCGAAACTTTGGCACCTGCTGGAGCCGTTCAACCATCTGTATCTGTAATTGTTCTCTCCATTTAACATGACTTTGGGAGTTTTATTTCTGGAGATACTAAACAGTTAAAAATGGCTTCACGTGTGGGAAAAGACAAAAAATACCAGGTCCTAACAGAACAAATAAATCAGCTCTTAACAGACTGTGAGACGGTACAACAACACCTTTCCAGAAGTCTGTCTAAACTTGCTAGGGTTGGCTGATGCATACATCTGCTGAACTTTCATGGAGGTGCTGCTTCCTTGTATTTTTCCGCCTTGGAGGGTTTGTGTTGGAGACTGTGAGAACCTCTTCCACGTCCCAGGATACGCAGCTTTGGTGCGACGTTCCCAAAGAAGTTCTTCAACATGCTCCTGACGGCCACCGAGGAAAAGTAGAAGATGAACGGGTCCAGACAGGCGTTGAGGGTGCTGAAGAGCAGCGCCACGTTCCTCCACTCCTGGCTCTCCTTCCGGACGAACCCCACCACATGGGAGGCATTGTAAGGCCCAAAACAGACAGCGAACACGATCAGCGTGCTGAGCGCCAGGCCGATGCACCGAAGCCGCCGCCGCCGGCTGATGTTCGGCAGTCGGGACAGGATGAGGATTAAGTTGACGTAGCAGAAGCAGCTGATGAAGAAGGGGATGCAGAAGAGGACGAGGAAGAGCTCCAGGCGGAACGGCAGCAGGATGTCGAGCTCGTCCTCGGTGAAGTTCAGGTAGCAGGTGGTTGGAGGCGGCGCCGGCGCGCTGCTGTTGCTGTGGCCGCCGTCGGAGCCCTTCCTCCACTGGGAGTAGGGCATGATGTAGACGATGCTGAGGTTCAAGCAGGTCACCACCCAGAACATGACGCTGGCCACTGCGGCGTAGCGAGGCCGGCGCCACAGCGAGTACCTGAGCGGGTAGGCGACGCCCAGGTACCGCTCCACGCTGACGGCGGTGAGCAGCAGCGTGCTGTTGTAGATGGTGACGTAGAACAGAAACCCGGTGAACGGGCAAAGCGCGAAGGGCAGCACCCAGGCAAAGCTGTCGGACGCCTCCTTCATCTTGAAGGGCAGGAACGCCAAGAAGACCAGGTCCGAGATGGTGAGGTTCAGCAGGAGGACGTCTATCGGGGTCGCCTTCTGACGCACCTTGTGGCAGAAGGTGCAGAAGGCCAGAATGTTGGTGGGGACGCCGATCAGGAAGGTGAAGATGTAGACGGAAAGCAGCAGGTGCAGCATGGCGACTGACCACAGGGGGGCGCACTCTCAAACTCTGGACAGAAGGAAACAAAATAAAGACAGATCGCTGTTTAAGTCTGATCGTTGGGCAGATAGAAAATGTCATTTAAACTCTCACACAAGCATCACGTTCGGCTTGCGTGTTACTTACAGGCCGACTGTTTAGAAAAAAAACATTTGCAAATTCAAAGCGGCGGCCATTTTTTAACATCAGTGTTGAATCATTTTTGGATTGTTTTGAGTAGCTTTTAACTCAATTATTCCATTTTTGTAATAACATTTCACAATACTTATCGTCTCATATCATAGATTAGTTCACCTTGGAGGCTTCAGCTCTCACCTCCCGTATCTTCCCGGCTGACTTCTTACTTTACCCAGAAGGCTCATGTCTACGACTGAACTGAAGACAAACCCACCAAAGCTTGCTATTAAGGTGGAATTTATCACGTTAGAGTTTGCAAATTTGGGTCCTACATGCTACATTTCACATTGTTTGACACCAAAACAAAGCAAGTTGCTCCACAACATCATGCTGTGGGACAATATACTGGATTGCATGTTGGAAATGGCGGCCATCTTGGAATTCATGTAATGGTGAACATGAAGAAAGAAGAGCTTCAGCCCATCTGCAGCCTTTTGACGAATATAAATCTTTAAAAAAAACACCACATAAACCTATAGCTTCATTTTTTTAATCAACTAAATCATGACTTTCTGTAACACCTGGATGTGATTTTTCCCCCCATAACTCATGATTTTTTATGTTTTAACACACTTGGTTTTGGTTTTTCTTTCTAGGAATTAGATGACACACTTAGTTTAGCTTTTAAAAACCACTGAACATCCCGAGTGAAGCCTTGGATTCCGCCATTAATGTGCACTTTGCCGACCGACAAACACAGACGCTTGTAAAAGCAGCGAGCAGATGTGCAGCCGGTTCCTTCTGTTTCCTCGTAAATGAGATAAACTCACCTCAGACAGGTGTTGAAGTCCAGACTCTCCATCACCGCCTTGTTCTCCCGCTGCGATCGCTGTTTGACCAGATCAAACAGCTCGACGTATCTGTCCCGCGGAAATTTAATAAGCTTCTGGACGCGACCTCTGTTCTCCAAACATCGTCTCCCGGCAGCAGCTCGACGCGTCGAAGCCGGAAACGCTAAATCGTCTTCTGAGGAAGTTGTTGGCCGACAGCCAACGGAGGAGGGAGACTTCTATCTGCGAGAGGCAAAGCACAAAGCTTACAGTGGGGGGAAAATGTGGGATTTATCTTGTGGTGAGAGCAAATCTTCAGGGAAAATTCACAGGTGTCGCAACAGAACTCAGTCAGTATGTCGATGGCCAGTTTTTTAGTCCTGTTGAGTAAACGGTTGACGACAGTTGGGAGGAGACAGAATGTAAACACAGAAAACACCGGGGATTGGTCTGCATGGAGTCGCTAACAAAACGGGATTAAACCAAGACAACAGTCACAGATAACAAAGACGATTGAGTGACGGGGTCTGGCAGACAAGAAAAAGGGAAGGGGATTATCAGTAGCAGTGGTAATGGGATAATGGGTGACACCAGGGTGGGCTTGGCTGTAGCACCAGTCTGTCAAAACAGCTGGAATCTTGTCAAACACCCAATTCTACTGATGCTGGTGAAATGTCGACCAAAGGCTGTATTTTTTAGTAGGAAATATGGATCCATCCGTAGAGGAACTTCATAGGGACACAACACCACTGTAGTTTGAAAATATTGAACTTTTTTCCATTTTCTAGAACCAAAAGTTCTTCATTATTGTCATTTATGACAATTTTGGACAAGCTTTATCATATTTTGAACACATTTGGAGCTCATTTTGAACAGTTTTCAAGTTAAAATATCTAAAACCTGGAACCTTGTCTGGTCCAACTTTCACCACATCAGGTTCTGCTGATGTTAGTGCCTCAACAGTTGGTGAAATGTCGACCAAAGACTGGATTTTAGCAGAACCATGGATCCATCCATAGATAGACACTGACAGGAACTTTCCGGGTTCACAATACAAACCTAATTCTGCACTTTTTTCCCCACTTTTAATGGCCAATAATACAACATGTGTCCTCTGTTGAAGCCGTTTAATCATGTGAATCTGCTGGACACTATTCTCTGTGTCGTTATTCAGTTTCATGGCTGTGGGAGTTTTATTTCTGGACATGTTGAACCTTTAAAATGGCTCCACAGATAAGATGTATTTGTTTTTAAGAGGGGAACAATTGACAGGTCTAAAAACATGAGAATTTCAGCCAAATAACCTAAACTCTGATCCGACCCTCCTGTACGTGAAGGACAAAACGTTTTCCTTTGTGCATCATTGATATTTTTGCATATTTAGACGTTTCTAACCTTTTTTTTTTTTTGGCTATATATTAAATTATCCTGTTTCCACATTCAGAGGAATCTGTGCAGCTTCTAGATTTTCTGCAAGATCTCTGCAGCATCACCAGTATTACCATTATTTGTACTTTTTTGTTCCCTCTGCTGCTGCAGCGGTCATCTTATCTCAGTTCTATCTGAATACGAGTCTGAATCGAGTCTCGGTTTGACTATGAAGAGCTGCTCTGTGCTCAGATCTCATTGAATCCACCTGAGTGTCGCTTTTCTGCTTCAGAGGAAAGTTACAGCTCAAAGAAATCCCAGCTTCTGTGCAAACAGGTTAAAACTCTAGCCCAGAAACAGCAAGTAACTTATTAATTCTACTTCTTTTTT